AAAAAAAAAAAGGAGGGGACAAAAGTAGGAGTCCAAGGTCCCCAACAAGAAGCCCTGGTACACACTCATAGCTTTCACTCAGAATCCCTAAAGAGATACACCCTAAGAGTAGAGATGAACTGGAAATAAGACCAGGCAACACAGACCGAAGTTCAGCTTCTCATTGGTTTAATCTCTAATTGTACTAAAGATCTTCACATGCCTGCTAGAACCAAAAATTAATGCCCTCTAGAGGAAGATAAAATTATCCAAAAGCCATGGGGGAACCTTAATTAATAGAGTGATTATATTAATGATTCCTTACGTGTTGAAAATAAAATTTCTTTGTACAAAGTCCTCTCACAGCATAATTCATCTTAACAAGTCAGTGCAGTATATTTAGCTCATTTTACAGATAAGGAAGATGAAACTGAGACTTTACGAAGAACTCTGAAAAGTGGTTACTAAGTTCAAGGTGTGTTTGGCTTCTATTGTATATATTTATATGGACATAAAGCATATTCATAGGCTTTTTAAGAGTAATAAGGATGTGATGGATTTCTTAAGTTAATAAAATTGCTAATATAAATTTAAATCAGTTTTTAATGTATGTTTGACAAAAAAATAAATGTTGAGAACATGAGTTCTGTGTTATTATCCAGTTGAGTAACAAACCTGCAAATCATAAACGTATATTACATAGTAAAACAATGAATGGACTTAAATAGACCACAGTATCTTTACACACTTCCTAGAAGGACTGTATTATATGTTCCTTTAGAGAACTCCAGGATTTTTTTCTTTTTTTCAATTTGGAAGCAAACTTAAGAATTAACAATAATTACATACATTTTGGTGTGCCATTACTACTTGTATAACTTTGGATGACAAAATATACAGATTAAGAAATATAGGCATTCTGATAACTGGCTTTTTGAGCTTTCTTCACAAAGTCAGAGGATACTGTGTCTTTGAGTAATGATTCATTGATTAAGAATTATGAAACAAGCCTTCAGTTCAATTTTGTTCTCATATTTGAGGAACTATTAACATATTCCTAGATGATCTGAATTTTTTTTTTTTGTTTTGTTGTAAAAGAGGACCGGTAAGGGGATCTCAACCCTTGGCTTGGTGTTGTCAGCACCACGCTCAGCCAGTGAGCAAACCGGCCATCCCTATATAGGATCTGAACCCGTGGCCTTGGTGTTATCAGCACCACACTCTACCGAGTGAGCCACGGGCCGGCCTAATGATCTGAATATTTTAAATGCATGAAAATTCTAAGACTCTCAGGACTTCTGTTTTACCAAATACCACAAATCCAGAGGTTAGAAGAAAGAACTGAAATCCATCATTAAATATTTCCATTGTTCTGAAGTTGTGAATTATAGGGTTGTGCCTTTAGCATTTATTTTTGTGTGCTTTCATCACAATGTGATTTTTAAACACTATCACTGTAAAATTTAATAACTATGAAAATAACCAGACACAGTATGTATAATTTCCTGTTATTTGCCATCTATTATGGTTTGCCTACAAACAGATATCCTTGGAACCAAATAGACTAACTAAAAACTAGCTAATCAATATTTCAAATGATTTCAGATTAGCTAACAGATTAAATGTATACTTAGCAGTTGATTAGCTATTAAAATTTATAAGTAATATAAAAATCTAAAATAGCATGAGTTACTCTTCAAAACTATTTCCTAGTATAACGTGAAATTAAATACATTTTTTAAAGTTTTTTATAATTTCTTTTGAGGTCTAAAAAGGATTAAATGATCTAGTGGTCTGTTGAAATAAAACATATTAAATGGTATACAATTTGACTACTAATGTAAAAAAAAGATAAGGGCACAGCTTTTTAAGTAGCTAAAGACCTGGAAAACTGGCTAAAAATATGACCCTTAATATACCATTAACAGAAATTAGATCACTGGGAGAGGAGGCTGATGGGGTGTAAAACTTAGGTGATTCTAAGTTCCGTTTTGGATGTGTCGAATTTGAAATACTTGGCAGGGCTGCCACATTGCACAACCCCATTTTGTTCTATGTGAATGGTGCCACATGAAGTTGTACAACATTGGCCAATTTATGGGATGTCTAGATGGAAATATCCAGCAGGCAGTTGGAATTAAGAGGCAAAAATTCAAGAAAGATGTCAGGGTTAGAAGTGTAAATATAGAAGTCATCCAAAATAAGAATTGAAGGATATTGCCCATGAAGAGACAGCAGAAAAGAGGCCAAAGACAGAAACTTGAGGAACATCTTCATTTAGTGGATAGGGAGAGGAAAGGAGCAAATTAAAGAGAGACAAGTATGTATTTGGGAGTCCAGCTTGACCCATTTATAACAGGACTGTTTACTGTGCTACACAGCTGAAACCACATAAAAACCAATCCTTGCAACTCTCGCATTATTTACAGTCTCAGTCCTAAACTACTCTTACTGACCTTTCTAACATTCCATTTCCTCCCCCTTTTCCCCAAACTCTACTCTCATTGCTTGCCTTCCTATTTATGGCCTCACCTTATACATTGGAAATAAAGTACTCAGCCCTGCTTTCCCTACTTGAACTTTGTGCTTCTCTCATCTGCCTCAATTTGAACTCTTCCTTTGACAACACTGCCTCCTGCTAGCCTGAGGACAATCCCTTCATGATACCTGTGTAGTGGGTTAGAAATCTTGATTCTCCTTGGATTTTTAGGTAATGCATGAATGAGCCAAAAGGCTCTTGAGTAGGGTACGACAGTCCACAGATAAGGTTGGCAAAAGCAATCTAATCAATTCTAATCACTGTTTAGGGATGGGATTGTATACTTTGATTGTTTTAGGTTGCTGGTTTGATTCCAGCTTGACTAACTATTGACTATTTAACCTACTGATTGTTCTTTAGATATGTTAAAAAAAACTGCTTGAATGCTATTTAAATATGCTAAAGAAATTGCTGTAGAAAGTATGTAGAAAAGAAAATGTTTACTAAGGGCAAGCTGTTTGTTGGTGGATTGACTTAGCTTTTTACAAATTGCCTTCTGGAATGTCACATTGTTAATTTTACTGCTATTACTAGTTTTAGTTGTTTAAACCTATACTTAGCTATAATTCCCTCCTGTAACACTGCCTGTTTTTTTTTTTTTGTTTGTTTGTTTTTTTAAAAGATGACCGGTAAGGGGATCTCAACCCTTGGCTTGGTGTTGTCAGCACCACGCTCAGCCAGTGAGCAAACCGGCCATCCCTATATAGGATCCGAACCCGCGGCCTTGGTGTTATCAGCACCGCACTCTACCGAGTGAGCCACGGGCCGGCGCAACACTGCCTGTTTTTATGTCCTTCTTTGTTGATTGAACCAAATGATTTTTCCTGTGAAACTTCCTTGTCTTGTCAATAAAAAGAAAGGCTGATTTTGAATCGGGGCTGCTGCTCCCCTGATGGGCGGCAGTCCCTCCAGTTCTCATTGATGGTACTTTGAGTGAATTCTTTCTTTCTCTTTTTTTCATCTTGGTTACACAGAGGAAAGTGTAACAATACCTGGACTACATGTCTGAGTACAGGGCCTTGCAAGTGGCACTCTCACCAGGTTCCCCTTGGATACATGAGTAGGACAGATAATCTAGACAGCATCATGTGATGTCATAGAAGGAAAGAAGTCTTTAAGGAGAATGGTCACTTGGGAAGGGGCTCCCTAGTGCCTACAAAATAAAGTCCCCAATTCATAGCCCAGTCTTAAGGATTATGCTCCAATCAACCTTTCCAGACTTAGCGACTCCTATTTCCCTACAAGACACTACATTTGAATCCAGACTACTTGCTCTTTACTAGGTATACTCCATGTACAAAGGCCTCTGCTTTTGCTCATGCTAGCAGTGAAGACAACCGATCTCCCATCAAATTTAGGTGTGTGAATGTAATTGAGCTTGGCACAAATTCAGAGGTAAGTAACAGATACTTTAGAAATAAGGGGATCTCAAGGAACAATATGGGTCTACTCAATAATACTCATGGAGGTATTCTAAGTGATCATAAAGGTCATTTTACTCAAGAAGGATTGGGGCTGAGAGAGTCAGGCTGAGACCAGATCTACCCATTGGGTCAAACAACTTTTCTATTAAAAATGGATGGTCAGTAAATTGTATGGTATGTGAATTATATTTCACTAAAGCCATTACCAAAAAAAGCCCTAAACAAACAAACAAAACCAAAAAAATGGGTAGCAGAGTGTACAGGTGCAAATTTCCAGACTGGTAGTTCATTAAGGAGTAGGATTAGAGAATATAATTTGGCCAGAAGCTGCTGTCCCTCCACAGTCAGGTCTTCAAGAAAAGCAAGAGTTGGCCTACAGGCCTCTGAATTAATTCTCAAGTGCTTTCTGGATTAGGGCTGGCAAATGTCAGATACTCAGTTGCCTGCTGACTTGAGCAAGGGCATCACTGACAACATCAAGATCATGTCGCAGCTCATTCATGGCGCTGGTAATGCTCTTGGTGTCTTTCAGGATCTGAATACTCCGTGTATATGGATTATACTTCACTCCAAATGGGCGCTTAATTGTTTTGGTAAATTCTCTGTTTAAGAAAACAAATAATAGACAATCAATTTCTAGGGGGTAAATGATAAAAACTAAATAAGCAACAGAACACCTATTTCACACACTGGGCAAAGGACAAGTCTTTATTAAATATGCACGCAATCAGTCTGACCTACGTCCCTACACTACATGCTGAGAGAGTCCTGGAATCCCACACAGGTAAAAAACCCAAAGTAGTCATGTATATATCTATCCTGGTATTACTAGGGAAATTTTTCTGCCTCTGATATCCTCCTTTCTTAACCACACACTTAGCTGACTAATCCTTAAAGCATAGCTTTGATTGCATCATACATATTTCCTATATTTTTCAAACTCCTTATCTTTTTTCATCCTGTCTCTAAGCCTAAAATTTAATATATCTAAATATTATTATCTTTCAGGCCCTTTCTCAAATGTTATTAAGCTTTCCCTGTTCCCCCTGCTGGAATAAATTGTTCTTAAATGCACAACAAAGCTTTATCTGTATCTTTCTAAGGCTCTTGTCACTTTCCACATTGTTATACAGTAATTTGTGTATAGTTTCTTTTTCATATTAGACTACAAACTCTTTGATGGGAAGGAATGAGAAGAAACCAATTTCTCAATGTATTCAATTCATACAAATGTGCTACCAGTATCTTGGGCATTTGCAACTACCCAACATCATTATATACAACATACTCTAAATGCTTGTTATGAAAGGGAGACATGCTACAGGCAGAAAGCTCGTAATTATCTAGCTGCTTACTTCGGTGACTTATTACCACATTGGGTCTATCTTTTGCAGAAGAAAATGAAGGCATGAGGAATGAGGAATGTATGCTTTACCTCATCTTCTCCTTTGCATCTTCAAAGCTTTCAGATACAAAGTAGACATCCTGAAAAGTTGTGATGAGACATTCCTGTTTGCAGGTAATCTTGGGATCAAACGGCTTTACTTTGGCTTGTCCAGAAAGTGCATGCTCAAGGACAAAGAGTAAGTGAATCAACAAATACTGTATATTTTCATAGATCACACAACCATTAGAATCGGCACACTTCTGAACATATTACTGATGGAATGGCCCCAACCTGCAATTCCAAACTTATTTCCTACAGCTCTATTTATCCCACAACCTACTCCAGCAAAACATATGGCTTTATGTTCCCCTTAAATTCCCCAAGATCATCTCCATGGCTTTGTTCTAACTCTCTTCTCTGTGTAGGAGGCACTCAAGAATCTTGATCTATTCCTTCACTGTAGCCCTTATTTTCTACCCGACGCTATTCTTATACATGACTTACACCCACCACTAGATGGCAGCCTCCTTGAGAGCAAGACAGTACCTTGGACAGCGCACACATCCATCACTCAGCAAACATATTAAGTTCGTTCACTGGATAAATAATAAATCTGAAAGAATTCCCTAGAAACTATAAACTTATTGATAGAATATCATAAATGGTAAAAAAAAATCCCATCAAGATTTTGTAAGCAAATCTTTAAAACACTTATTTAAAAGGATATATATATAATAATATGATATAGTATCTTTTAAATAAAAAGTGTTTTAAATAAAAAGCGTTTCTGACATATATAAACATACATACATATTTAGGGTGGCAGTAACATTACTTGAAAGCATTTTTCTCTATTTTCCAAATTTGTATATTTTAAATGTTTACTAAAATTTTAAATGTTTACTAATAACTTTAAAATATAATAAACCCATTTTATGGTAACATAATAACATTTTAATAAAAATAACTATATTTTACAAAACAAAGTGAGAAAAGTAGCATTGTTTTACACTGTTATAAATCTTTTTATTGTAATTTTATTTTTTGACAGAGCATAATTGTATGTAATTATAGGGTACACAGTGAGGTTATCATATATGTGTACAGTGTGGAATGATCTCTATATATATAAAATATATATTCAGAAAACTCGGAAAATATGCCTTCAAATAATGGTTACTGCTACCCGAAGTATTTTCCACAGTAAGCTCTTGTTCAACACAAAAACTACTTCAGGTTGTATCAATTATACTATGTAAATATGGTTATGTGCAAAGATTTATAACTCTTACTTTGAGTTCACTGATAGAAGAAAGTAAGCCAGCGCCAAAGACTCTCAGGTGCCCATCTTGTTTACACAGACCAAACTCCACAGTGAAAAAGTAGCACTGCAAATGTACATCAATATTACTTTCAAATCCTGAACGACTCAATTTAAAACAAATTTCAACTTTGTCACTGACCCAAAGTAGCCCAGAAAAAAGCCCAAGACCCCCAGCCTAGTTCATAAGTCTTTCTTCAATCTAGCCTCATTTTAAACCAGGATTTCTCAAATTTTTTTTCTGAGGATTCTCATACACAATTAAAAATTACCAAGGACCCCAAAGATCCTTTATTTGTATAGGTTATAGCTAGCTATACTAATCATGTTAAAAATTAAAACTGAGAAAACATTTAAATGTTTACTAACTCACTTTAAAATATAATAAGCCCATTTTGTGATAACATAAAAACACTTTAATAAAAATAACTATATTGTACCAAACAAAAAAAGTTAAGAAAAGTAGCATTGTTTTACATTGTCACAATTTTTTTTTAATTTTATTTTTTGACAAAGTATAATTGTATATAATTACAGGGTACCTGGTGATGTGAGGATATATGTATACAGTGTGGAATGTTTGAATCAAGCTAATTAACAACATTGTTAAAAATCTTTTTAATGTCTGGCTAGACATTATTTAATGTTTGTCTAGAAGACAGATGGATTGTCATATCTGCTTCTGTATTTAACCTGCTGCAATATGTTGTTTTGCTTAAAGTATATGAAAAAAATTCAGCTCTGCACAGTTATGTAGTTGGAAAAGGGTTGAGTATTCTAACAGACTTTTCAGATAATTGTGAATATGCTTCCTTGACATTACATCAAAACTGAACAAGGGGTAGTTTCTTAAAGTTCATATGCAATGTGGAATCTGAACTCTGGCAATGAACTCTGTTTGTTAAATTAAAATCTACTTTGCACTTTGAATGGACCTTTTACCTATGCATGATTTTGACCTCTAGTACCCCATGAATGGGTCTCAGGGACCCCAGGGGTCTCCAAACCACAATTTGAGAAGCACTGTTCTAACATCTAGCCTATTTCATGCCACCTCCCCACCACCCTCCCAACACACACACGCTGTTCCAGCTTCTTGTCATTTCCCCAGACACACCAAGCACCTCCTTGTCTTTTCTTGTGTGCCCTCATCTTGAGATGCTCTTCCTTCCTTTTTTTTTTTTTTTTTTTTTTGTCTTTTTCGTGACCAGTAAGGGGATCGCAACCCTTGGTGTGGTGTGGCCCACACCATGCTCATCCAGTGAGCGCACCGGCCATTCCCATATAGGATCCGAACCCGCGGCGGGAGAGTCTCTGCGCTCCCAGCACCACACTCTCCTGAGTGCGCCACGGGCTCGGCCCTTCCTTCCTTTTTTGCTCATAAAAACATTACTCACTCTTCATGGGCTAGTGCAGATGTCCTTCTTCCATGAAACCTCCCCCAAACAGTTCTCCGCACTCCCAAAGCATTTTATCTGAACTTCCCTATAGACTTTATCTCATTCTAATGTAACTGCCTCTTCATGTGGTATATAAGCTCTTTGAAGGCAAGGACCAAGCCTTACTCATCTTTGTATTTCCAGCAGTGTCTTGTACCTAGTGCTCAAAAATATTTTTAGCATAAATTTTATAGAACCTGTCATTTTTATTGGAAAATAAAAGCTATACAATCTATTAACATTATTGTCATCAAGTATTTCTCTGCCTTTTTAAAGCTCAGGTCTCCTTTTGAAAACCCTTAAAATTGTACATCTTTCTTTAATGTTGTTACTTAGATTATTTAAATGAAATTAAATATTATGAGCAAAGACATATTCTCTAATGGTCATCTTGAATATGAACCCTTAAACTACACAAATACACATATACCCCCCCCCCAGTTGAGAACTACTGATCTATACAGCTATATTCAGATTTATACCGTTGCCAGTTTTTGAACAGCCTCCTCTGAAGCGCCAAGAGAAGCCAGACCAATTTCTTGGGAGAACTGAGCAAAACTAGGTTCAGCCAAAAGAGGAACATGACCTAAGAGTTCATGGCAGGTATCTCTGAAATAGAGGTACAAGCTTGTCATGCTGTGATCCTTAGCACAAATGCATAATCAATCATTCAATCAAATCAAAATCCAATCTTACTTTTATTCTAATTATCAGGTGGTATTACTTTGGTGATGGATCACAAAGGACACTAATCAAATAAAGAAACAATTTTGATTCAAAATCTTGGCCACTCACAGACACACACATATAAGTGCATATTGGATACCGGTAGACATCCACATGCCCTCCCCACCCCCACCCAAATCAGGTCTCTGCTCAAATGTCATCTTCTCAGCAAGACCTTCCCTGATTACCCATTTTAAAACAGCAACAACCCCTGCACCGCCCCCACCCCCACCCATGCATACATCCCATTTTCCGGCTTTGTTTTTCTCCATGGCCCTCATCTCCAGCTAAGATGATACACACATACATTTCCTTGTTTGTTTATTATCTGTATCCCCCGCTGGAATACAAGCTCTGTGAAGGCAGGAATTTTTGTCTGATTTTTTTCAGTGTTATATACCCCATGCTGAGAACAGCACCTGGCACCACACAGGTTGTCAATTAATAATAATGATAATAATAATGGCTAACATGTATAGAGCATGGAACATGTACTATATGCCAGACACTATTCTAAATGCTTTACATGTGTTAATTCATTTAATATTCAAAAAAAATAAAAATAAAAAAATAATAAACCATGAGATAGGTGCCACTATTATAAATAACCATTTCATGGCTGAAGTGAAGTACTTACGGCTCTGGGGTATAGAGGGGATCTGAACTGTGTCTCACATACTGAGTGCAGTGAAAAACTCGAAAGGCTAAACCTGATAAGAAATCTCTTGGTGATAGGTAACCAGCCACAGGACGGATGGAAAAACCTGTGCGCTCTGCAAAGCAAAGGAGAAAACAGAGAAAATCTTTATGAGACAAACCATTGCCTGCAGCATTTTAATTCTGTCAGTGACACCCAGTGACGCTTTGAGGGAGGACATAGAAACTAACACTTATCATATGCATACTAAGGGCAACTAATAACTATTAAGCACTTACCATGGCCAGGCAATGAGTTAGTCATTTTACATATCACATCTCCTTTCATGCTTACAATATAGGTTAAGGACTTTTCTCCTTATTGCGACAACAATAAAACTGAGGCTCAGAGACTCAGTAATGTGCCCAAAGCCACACAGTAGATGATAAAGGTAGGATGAGGACCCAGGTCTCTTTATACTGCATCTTACTGTCTCTCTGAAGAGTTTAGAATATCCCCTACAAAATCTTATTTTCTTTTCAAAGGTATTCACCAACAAGATCTATTAATTTAGATCAAAACCATTTTTTAATCTATGCCATTATTAGCCAACACTATCTCTTATAAAGTAGTCCCTTTATTGTATCTAAACTGGATGGTGCTCTTCCATCCCCAATAGCCAAGATTGCGTGCATACTGTAAAAGGAACCTGCCACTAAGCTTCAGTGGCTCCAAAGACTCCTGTAAGCTCCAATCTTGCCCTTCATTTCAAACTTTCATGACTAATATTCCACTTCCATCCAGTTGCTTTATACTTGGATTCTCCCACTCTGATGGGTAAAATGCACTGCCCAATAGAATTTTCCACAATGATAGAAATGTTTTATATCTGTGCTGTCCAATAAAGCAACCACTAGCCACATGTAGCTATCAAGCATTTGAGATGTGGCTAGTGTGACTGAGAAACTAACACTTTGGTTTAAATTTATTTTATTTAAAATTTGTACCACCACCAAATAAACAAACAAACAAACAACTGCATGTGTCTAGTGGCTACCATATTTGACAGTGCAGGTAGCCCCTTTCAAATGATGCTTTGTTTGAACTGTCTTTTAGTATTGGTTTCAATCTTTGACATTTGCCCTTGAAAGACTTTCAGCAACACATTCTGCAGCCAGCCCAGGCTCCAGATCCCAAGTGAACAGCTTTCAGTTTTGTATTCATAACAAAATACTTCCTCCAAATTGCATGCAAATTTGATTTTACAACAACTTGTAGCACTTGCTTGTCCATGTTTGTAAGTCCAGCAAGGTCATATGTATTGATTCTCTATCATCTTTAATTACTATGTTTTTCAAGTCTAGTTTTTGTAGGAACCACTTAAATAACTTCTTCCCTCGTGGAAACTATATAGCCCTTTCCTGTTTACATCTTCTTAGCTTTGTGTATAGTTGTTGAATAATTAGAATTAAGGAGTTGAAAATATATGTAGCTTTTTGTAACAGTCTATGTAAGAGACTCAAATATAGCAATTTCAGACCGTGATGGGAATAAACTAACCTCTGTCTGAGTTTAAAAAAACACAACTTCTTTTAAATTAAGATTTCTAATCTGCTGAGATAAAGAGGGATATTTATTTTTCTTAAATATTGTATACCCTGAAGATCACTCAGTGATCATTTTACTTCCTATGTATGCTAGAAAAAATAATAAGGCCTGGACCAGACAAGTATGAAGAACTAAAAGGAACAAAATTGTCCTTACTCTTTGTTTATGCCTCTACTAGCAAATCTTCCTTAGAAAAATGATAGAATCTTAGTGTGGAAAGGGGCTTCAGATATCAAATACTCCAACCTTCCCCAACATGTTTGGATCTCCTTTACCACATCTATGACAAGGGGATGTGGAATGTCTGCATGAACACCTCCGTGGAGGGCAAACTAACCATCTCATGAGCCTATTCTATTTTCAAGTGGCTCCTTTAATAAGGTATTCTCCCTTGAGCCAAGATCTTGTAGTTTCCATCCAATAGTTCTCTACTTTGGAGGTCACAAAGTAATCCCTCTATTATATAAGATGACTTTCACGTACTTAAATAAAGCTATAATGTTCCCTAAATCTCCAGGTTAAACACCCCAAGAGTCCTTCAAATTGTACTTACTCCGTATTTTCAAATCCCCTTATAATTCTGCTCACTTTCCTCTACTCTTGCTCCAGGTTCTGATTATTCCTCTTCAAATGTGGCGCCCAATCCTGAATCCAATACCCCAAGACAGTACAAGAAGAGTCTGATCTTCCATATAACTAGACTTTCTTCCTCTATTAAACATGCTGTCATGATCTGAACAGAGTTCAACATTCCTCTTATAAAAATTAATTAGTTCATTACCTTTTAAAAAGTTTGAGACATCTTCCAATTGTGGGATATTATCTTCCCGATACCCACAATGTTTAGAAAGCAAAGGTAAGTTTCTGAGATACTCTCTGCAAGCATGGGTTGGATAGAGTTTGTTGAGCTCTCGGAACACAGTTCCCCAGGTCTTAATCTCCTCTTCAGTGAATTCAACCTTAGGAATGGGGTGTCCACTAATGAGATAAAGGGAAGAAATTATTTGAATTAGCATTCAATAAACAGTAACACTTATTTTACTTTTTGTTTATTAAATGAACACAATTTATTCATATATTTTATTATCTCAAAATTGGATGTATTATTTTTATAACATACTTACTGTTTATAGTTCATA